CGTCCACAGACACACACAAATAACAATGTCATCTCGAAGCACGGAAAGCTAACACAAAATGGCCAGGCGTCGTGGAGCCCTGTTGCGCGGGGGCCTGGGTGAGGACCCGTCCGGCCAGCGCTCCCCGGGCTCTGAGCAGCTGCTGGGATGGGGACCGGTTCCGCTCACACACAGTGCTCTGTCGGCCCGGCTCTGGCCCCAAAGTGCCCAGCTCATGGGCTACTCCCTGCCCCACCCCACCTGCCGTGTCCCCTGCACGGGCCAGTGTGTTGTCCCACCGCAGAGCATCTGTGGGCGACTGCTGGCCTCGCCAAGGGAGGGGGAGTGCACGGGGAGAGCTGGGGAGGGGGACTCCTGTTAACCTGCTTCTCCTCTCTCCGCAGTCCTCATCATGGGGGGCGTCGTGGCCACGGCGGGCCAGTTCACCAAGTGGTACTTCGGCGCGTACTCCATGTATCCTGCCTGTGTAGATCGTGGGACGGGGTGCGGGGGGCAGTGGTGCGGGGCTCCGGGTGCGGACGCAGCTGCCCCTGGGGCCACGGGCACGTCACGGTTTCCCTGGGCCCCTGCAGACGTGGGGAAGGCAGGACAGGGCTCAGTCGCAGTTTGGGAAGCCGAGGCTGGGAGCAGGGGAGTGACTGGCGTGAGGCCAGGAGGCCCGTGGCCTGGCGAGAGGTGTCAGCAGCCCCGAGACCAGCACTGAGGCCTCGGGAACTCTGGGGAGCCCCTCTGTGCCCCCCTTCTATCAGCTGTCCAGCTGGGCCGGCTTGGGATCTGTCGGCGGTGGGCTGAGCCCCTCTGGCCCAGTTGGGACGGGCCAGCGGGCACCCAAGTGGCCAGACCCATCGGAAGCTGCCCGGCTGTTTCCCGCCAGCAGGCAGCTGCACCCCGTCTGTTTTCTGAGCCCACCGTTCCTTCATGGCACGTTCAGTGGCGCAGGCGTGTTCGTCTGCCTGTTGGAGTACCCCCGGGGCAAGAGGAGGAAGGGGTCCACCATGGAGAGATGGTGAGCTCCCATCCCTGCGCTGGGGGGCGTCCCCGGGGCTGGGCCACCCCACAAGGGAGGACACGCCTTCTGAGGCCGCAACCGCCCTCCTGGGCAAACAGGCCAGAGCCCGCCCTGCTGCTGTGGCCCCTCGGTCTCTGGGAGGGAGGAAGCCGGGGTGCTGGGGGGCGGGGGGATGGCTGCCGAGCAGGGTACAGTCTGTCTCTCGCCCTCTGCCTAGTGGACAGAAGTACATGACCAAAGTGCTGAAGGCCTTTGGGCCTCTCACCAGGAACTACTACGTCCGGGCCTTCCTGCACCTGGGGTGAGCCTCCCCCCGCCTCCCCCCGCCCCCGGGGACCAGTATGGCCCTGGAGTAAGCCCCTCCCCACCAGCTCAAGTCAGCCCCATCCCGGCTCAGATAGGCTTCCAGACCTGGAACCGGGGCTTCCCCAGACCAGCTCCATGACCTCGCGCCGCGTAACGGCTCACGGCCACGCAGGAGCTCACCCGGGAGTCGTGGGGGGCTGATGAGGCTCGCCTGGGCGGCTCTGCTCACTGCCTTGGGCGTGTGCCTGCTGGTTCCTGCCAGGGAGGCCCCAACGCCCTCGGGCCTTGACGGCCATGTGGGCGTCCTCCTGGCGTGGTGGGTGGGGGCCCAGCCCCAGCACCCCAAGAGTTGTTAAGGCTCAGATGAAAGCAGAGGACAGCTCCAAGGGCCCAAGCATGGAAGCCCAGCCTTTGGCAGGACTGGGCGTGTCCTCCAGCCGGGGTCCTGGGGGCTACATGCTATGGTCTGCCTGGTCCTGGGGGTCCTGGGGTGCAGACTCCTCCTGACCACCTGCCTCCCCCTCCCCGCCTCCCCAGGCTGTCAGTACCTGCCGGCTTCCTGCTTGCCACCATCCTGGGGACAGCCTGCCTGGCCATCGCGAGCAGCATCTATCTGCTGGTGAGTGCTATCGTCTGTGGCTCGCCCCGCGGGCCCTCACCACCTCGGTCCCCAAAGCCAGCTCTGCAGCCTGAGTCCTCACTCATGCCGTGGCGGGGTCAGTGGGTCTGTGGCCACCAGTCACTGGACGTGTAGTGTGCACTAGCTCCTTTTTCTGGGCCTTGGCCCTGCTTTGCAGACCAAGAAGTACAAAGTCAGAGCTGAGGTGACGTGGGTGGCCCAGGGTCACACGGCCAGCCACGGCCCAACCATACTTTTCTCATCTCACCCGTCCTTGCTAACTTGGGGTGCTGTTGGGAACACTTCCTGGGGAGCCTGTTAACGGTACAGATGCCACGGGGATGTTTTCCAAAGCTGCCCCATGGGGCCTGCCCAGGGTCGGGACACTTGCAAAGGCCCCGAGGTAGGGCTGCACGTCATCTGGTCTTCCCAGAAGGGCCGGCAGGCTCGGGGGAGGATGGCGTTGGGGGAAGCTCTGCTGGGCACAGGCTCTGGGCCAGACGTGTGTCTGAGCTGTTGCTTAGAACCGCCCATTTTTTGAGGGGGCTTTTGTCTTTTCCTGATTAACTCGCAGGAATCCCATGTTATGTTTTCAGTGTGAGTGTCTGTGCATGAATTTCAGACCCTGAATACTTTCTCTGCCTTGGTGAGGGTGTGTTAACGTTGGTGTGACATCCTTCCCTGGGCGGGACGGGAGTGTTGGTCTGTGCCTTCCACAGACGCCCTTCCCTGCATCTCTGCCCTCCCTGGATCCGGAGTTTTCCTTTTCAGGGGACATGCTGGGATTCACCTCGGGAGGCGGGGCCCCGGTGCCCATTCATTCTTCTGCTTCCTAAGTGACGTCCTGTCACAGTTTTTCTCTCAAGGACGGTGGGGCACAAATGAAAAGCACACGTTCCCAAGCCCTCCTGGCCTGCTGAGGGCTCTGCGGCCAGCAGGAGCCCATTCTCTTTCCTCAGCCGCCATGGCTTGTGCCCCCACGAAGCCTCCTGCCCTCCCCGGCTACCCCCCCACCCCGGCCACTCCCGCCCCGCGGCTGGAGCGTCAGCGTGAAGGGCGTCCAGGTTGCCCTCCCCACTGTGGGGTCCTGCCTGGAGAGTGAGGCAGCCGGAGTCTGGGGGCCCGGCTGTCACTCCGGAATTAGTGGGTCCAGACGCGGGTCCCGCCCGGCTCCCGGGGGCTGGTGGTGGGAGCAGAGTTGGCCTCCGGGAGGCCCTATCAACCCAGCTCCTCTGTATCCCGCAGGCGGCCGTCCGTGGAGAGCAGTGGGTCCCCATCGAGCCCAAGCCCAAGGAGCGGCCGCAAGTCGGGGGCACCATCAAGCAGCCACCCAGCAACCCCCCGCCCCGGCCCCCTCCCGAGGCCCGAAAGAAGCCCGGGGAAGAGGAGGCTGCAGGGGTGGCAGGGGTTTCCGGTGGCCCCCAGGAAAACCCGGTCCCGGTGATCGACGAGGTCGTGTGACCCGTGTCTCCATTTGTCCCCCAAGTAGCCTCCAAAATAAACCAAGGAGGGCAGGCTCCTGACTCCGTGTGCACCCCACTCCCAGTCCCGGCTCCTCCTGCATAAATCCCGGATGGGCTGCTTCTCGCCCCCTCTGCCTCCCTGCCTGCCCGTCCCATCGGGCCACTGCCAAACCGCCAGGCTCCCGCAGCCCAGGGCAGATGCCACCTGCAGCACGCTGGTCACTGCTGCCACAGAGATGCCCCTGGTCCGTGGGCCTCCTGGACCTTCGGTTTGGAAGGTCCTCCCCCCGCACCCCGTCCCCAGCCATGGTTCCTTCACCAACAGATGGTGTCGCCGCTGGGTCTATGGCGTCCGTGGCCCATGGGGCTCTGCTCTCAGAGCCAGCCACGTGGTGGAAACTCAGTCACGTGCTGACCAAAGCGTCCTTCAGACCCCAGACAAAGGTCCCTCCTCCCCAGCAGGGCGCTCGTTCGCACACAGTAGGCCTTCTTCAGGGGTGAAAATGGCTGGACGGGCAGGGAGGTGCCGGAAACACCCCTCAGATGGGCTGGGGAAACCGAGACTCCAAGCGGGGAGGTCATCGCCTCGCCGGAACTGCTCAGGCTCTGATCCCGGGTCCGGAGGCAGGGGTGCCTGGCCTAGGGGCTGTCCCTGGCTGGCCAGGTCACTGCAGGGGGTGGGGGCAGAAGCCCCCAGGGGGGCATCTGGGCAGCGAGACGGGCCTTCGGATTTGTCTGGGTCTCTGGTGGGGCTGGAGAAGAGACTCAGACACTTGGAGGGGAAGGTGGGCTGCACAGGCATGTCCCCCTGAGCTGACACCCCCGGCCATGGGGCAGGGGGCTGGGTGCCCTTGATGGAGGAGGGCCTGCCTGCAACGTGGCCAGACCGGGAGCAGAACCCCTCCCCGGAGCCACGGTCAGAGGTGTTGGCAGGTGAAACCCACTAGGGCCCTCAGGGCCCACACGTTTCACACACCGGCCACCCTCAGGGTTCACGCACAGACATTTCTGGAAGGACGCAGGATCCAGGGCCAGCGACTGTCCTGGAGGACCAGCTGGGCCTCAGGCCAGGCAGGGGTGAGGGTGAGGAGAGTGCTTCGGTCACTGCCCCTGCCTCCGACGCTGTGCTCTGGGGGCGTTTGTCAATTAAAAACACACTTACACTTAGAATAAATAATTGTTTTAGAAATACAAGGGTACTTGTTCTGGGGGGAATGGGAAGGGGAAGCTTGGGGGCTGGGACCAGCCTGAGGCTGGTGAAGGTGTGAGGGGAGCCCGGGGAACCACCGACAAGGAGGGGACATGAGAACACATTTTGTTTAAGAAGCTCTAGAAGAATAAAATGATTCCTTCTAGGCCAAATGTTTTTGCAGAAAGGGTAAACCGAGTCTCGAGATGGGCCTGACCGGCGCAGGGTGACCCCACAGGCCCAGGGACACAGCTCTTCAGTGCCTGGAGCCTCGGAACCTCCCCGGGGAACCCCAGGGGGCAAATAAATAACCAATAAATACCCATAATTAGTAGGGACCCTCTTCACAGAGACCCCAACTGTCCAGTTGTGCGGGGGGCGACCCACGGCCCCCCCCCGATGCCACCCAAGACAGCCAAGGCCTCCGGTCACTGTGCCGACCTGGGCAGGACGCAGGTGCAGCCCACGGGTACGCGGATGAACTCTGCGTGGAAGGAGAAGGCCCCGGGCGTGGGCGACCCCGTGGCGTCCTGCGAGCAGGGCTGGCGCCGGAGCACCAGCAGCGTCTGCTGCAGCGGCACGGAGTTGAGCGCGGCCGTCTCTCGGCCCGTCTTGGCGCTGATGCAGCCCCGGCACAGGCACTGGGCGAAGGCCAGCTTCTGCGGGTAGCGGCTCTCGTCGGTGTCCACGCTGGGGGGACAGACGGGGTGAGGACCCTGCCCGCCACCCCCGGCTGTGCCTGGCGCTCAGGGTGCCCCTGGCCCGACGCGGGCTGAGGAAACCAGGCTTCAGGGCAGGTGGCATGGGGCCCCCTTCCCACCCGCCCAGTTCCCCGACCCCCAGCCCCGGGCCCAGCCACCCCTGCGGGGGTTCCAGCGTTTACAACGGAATTGTCCCAAGGGACCGGGGAGATGGAGGCTCCCGGCAGTCCTGCCCCGGGCTCGTGTGCTGGACCCTGCCCTCCCGTCGGGGGGTGACAGCTCCTCTAGCTGCGAAGACACTGAGGCTTGGAGAGGGGAGGGACTGGCCCAACCCTACAGGGCAGGGACCCCGGTCCCCCGCGGCCCTCACCGGTATCTCCAGGGCGAGATGGAGCGCTGGTGAATGTCGGCTTCCAATACCTCCTCAGGCCGCAGCACCGGGCACTGGGTCCCAGCTGGGGGCCTGTCATGCCGCCTTCTGCGGCCCTCCGCCTCCAGGCTGGCCACCAGGGCTACGGGCAGAGCCTGTTCCCACTTGGCGGCTCGAGCCAGCAGGTGTGGCGGGGCCTGGCCCAGGGGCAGTTCCTCAGCCGAATAGCAGCGTGGGGTCCCATGGGGGTGGGCTCCCCCCCAGAGCTGGGGGCCATGGCGGGCTGGGCTGGCAGGCAGCCAGAGCAGAAGCAAGAGGCCGGGAAGGAGCTGGTGGACAGAAATTGGGTGGTCGGGTCAGGGTGGTGCCCAGGGAAGGCGGCACCTCCCTGGCCTCCTAGCTTGCCCTAGATGGGGTGCGGCCCTCCCTCTACAGTTAGGGAAACTGAGACCCAGAGGGAAACTTAGCCCTCAGGCCAGGCTCCCCAGAGCAGCAGAGCTGCTGGGTCCTAGCTCTCTCCTGTCCCCGGATTTGGGGTTTTCCTGGACCCCGTGCCAACATCCTCTGCTTGGGGGCTGGCGGCACGGTGCAGGTGGGGGCGTGGGGAGAGCAGCGGCTCACCAGGCTCACCATGGCAGCCGTGGCGCTGGGCTGAGAGAGGCAGGTGCACTTGGCTGTGGGCCTGGAGGCTGCGGACCTGGAGGCTGCCCGGCTCCAGGTGCCCTTTATACCTCCAGCCACACCTGGGGAAAATCCGGAGCCTCTTCCTCCTGGGGAAGTGCCCAGCTACGCTTCCTCCTCCACTCCCGGGTCCCCACTGTGCCCTCCTCCCACCCCACTCCTCTCCCTCCCCCACCCAGAGGGACCCTGCCTTGCAAAAGCTGCTGAGAAGCACGTTTTAGGACTGGGCTGTACCTGCTGCTTGGCCCTGCCGTGAGTGGCACGCTGGGACAGCTTGGACTCATCTAGGGCTCGTTCCCCAGGCTGGGGACAAGCAGTTGGTCCCGTTTTTTTCTCTGAGAGGGTCCAGGAGGGGCCCCGTGTCCGCCTCCAGCGGGGCCGATGGGAGGGTCCAGAATAGGCTCCGGGGGCTGGGGACCAGCCAGGCTTCAGGTTCTGGGTTGGCTTTCTGCGGATTTACTCAACGAAACCTCCTCCAGAAGCCAGGGATGAGGAGGGGGAGGATGCCTTGGAAACCTCAAAGAAGCTGCATTTGAGGAAGTTCCCCCCCGCCCCCCTCCACCAAGGTTGTGGCTGTGGTTGGTGGGGAGGGGGCTGCCTGACCACCATCCAGGCCCCTTGGTTATCCAGAAAGGGACAGCTGGAGGCGATCTTTGGCCATCACTCCCTGGGTCCCACGGCCACCCCGAAGTGTCCCCCAGCTTAGCAGGGTCTGAGGGCAGGGGAGTGGCTAGGCTGGGCACCAGGCAAGCGCCGTTCCCTAAGTCTCCAAGGACACAAAGACGCCCTAGGGGAGCCCAGACCTGCCCTCCTGGTCCTCACAGGTGTCTGCACCTGCAAGGGGGCTGCCCTGTGGCCCTTGCCCTCCCGGGGAGCAGGACGTGGTCAGGGGAGACCCTGCCCCTCGCTGGCCCGGATGAAATGCTCCTTCCCAACAGATGGCTGGACAGATGCACTGAGTTCCCAGAGCTGCTCCTGCCTACAGTGTCCTGGTCCCTGGTCATCAGCGCTCTGCTCGCATACTTTCTGCAACGGGGAGATCACTATCTCCCCTGCATTAGTTTGTACAATAACAGAAATCCAATTGTGGGCAGGGTCCGTTCCTTCCGGGGTCTCCGAGGGAGGACCGCTCCCACCTCTTGGAGCTTCTGGGTCTGCTGGTAATTCTGAGAGTCCCTCGGCTTGTGGCCACATCATTGCAACCCCAGCCTCCTCCTCAGGTGGCTCTCCCCTGGGTCCGTGTGTCTCCTGCGCAAGGACGCTACCCTCGTTCAGAAAGATCTGAAGAACCAAGACCCTTCATTCGTCCCAGGGACGGGGGCCAGGACGCCAATGTCTCTTGCGGGGGTACACAGAAGACCCCGGACCCCCTCTCCAGGGTGGATGCTGGGGGATGGCTTGGTGCACCCGCGTAGGCCAGCTTTCCAGGACACCCCTCCTGAGGGGCTGACCACTGACTGCTGACTACTGACCGCTCCTGCCTCCTGTCTCAGGAGAGTTCTAGTCCCCCTCGGGTCCCCCCAGGAAGCAGTGTGAGCCCCTTGAGGGCAGAGGCGGTGGAGTGGTCCCATGGCCGCCCTGGCATAGAGCTGTGCCCAGCGCCTCGGGCTTCCATAAATACACTGGAACAAGGGGAAGAGGGGGCGAGCCTGGTTCCCCTGGAGTAACATGGGGTGACAGTGCCCCAGTTGCGGGGTGCTGGAAGGGGGACGCCCACTGTGCCGTGGTCTCACCTTCCTTTGTGTGTGTGGGGGGGTCTGCACACATGCACATGGGTGTCATTTATGAAACGAAAAGATGGTCACTTCTGCAGCCACTGCCTGGCGGGTGCGCTCTCGTGGGGGCCCCGCAGGCTGCACAGGGCACACACGCCGCAGCTTTGCCCACCCCCCCACACCAGCCCCCCATGGGAGGGGGGAGTTTCCGCATTTTCTGTGCCTTTCCAGAACAGCTCATGGGTGGGCCCCGTGCTGGGAGGAGGAACCCTGGGACCAGGCTGCGCACCTGACCTGCTTCATGGTGCCACCACCAGGGGTGCCTCCAAGTGGTCCTGACAGCCGGTCCACAAGGGGGTGGCGGGGGGGAGCTGCCCTAGGGGACGAGGGCCAGAGCCCAGGGGTTGGGGGTCCTGGCCGGCAGCACTAAGGCCGGAAGGGTGCAGGGCGGGGGCCTGGGCGGCACCTCATTCCTGTGGGTGGCTGAGGCAAGCGCGGAAGTCCGGGGTTGGGCAAGACTGGAAAGGCGCCACCAGAGGAAGACTGGAGGGCGTCCCGGAGGCCACGTCCCAGAAGGCCCTGCCCCCCAACCATGCCCCTTGGACCGCCTCCTTCAGTCTCCTGCTGAGTGAAGCTGCCAGCCGCCCTGGGGGGGCGGTTGACAACTGTTGCTGGGGAGAGCTGGGGGGCTGGGCGCATTGGGGAGGGCGGGGGAGGCGGCCCCGGCGCCCTGGCAGCTGCTGTGAGCAACCAGAGAGAAACCCACGGAAACGGCACTTTCGGCGAGCAGCCCGGGGAGCCGGGCGTGTCCACTCACGACCTTGGAGACTGTGTCTCACATTTGAGTGACAAAATTAAGAAATAAAAACCCCTTCTGTTTTTTTTTCTTTATCCGCTCAAGAAGGACGAGGAGAGAGGCTGCGGTGGGGGTTGGGGGATATAGCAGGAGCCAGGTGGTTAGGGAAGGAGCATGGGAAGGCCTGAGGGGACAGGCCGCGCAGGCTGGGGCCACGAGAGTTAGTGTGAGGAGTTAGGTCAGAGTTCCAGGAACAGGAAAGAGCACGTGCAAAGGCCCTGGGGTGGGAGGAATGGCAAGCAGGTGGTCAGCATGTGTAATGTGGCAGGGCTGCTCTAGCTGTGAAGACTGGACCTGGACACAGGGGTCAGTCTGGTGGACAGACATGGAACTGGAGGGACGGCCCTTAATTATGCCCACTATTTACATGTTAACCACAGCCAGGATCTCAGCCATCATGCTCCCTGGAGCACAAACATGTCTGAGGATCCATTACATAACAGGGCTTCCTTTTTCCAGATGCCTGGCCTGGAATGTTCTTCCCACGAATGTTCTTGGTACCAGACTGGGCAGGGGGAGGGTTGGCTCAGGCTGTGGCCCTTACCCCTCCCAGGACAGGTACTACTGAGTCTGGCCCAGAGGAGCCATGGGCCCAGATGCCTCATGCTCATTACACCGGGCTGGGCTGAGGGAACCAGGGCCATGGTTCCAGCCTTGGTGTCAGAGGCCCAGGCCAGGTCAGTGGGGCAAGGAGAGCTATGCGCAGACAGGGACATGTGGTAGGCTCACCTGTGGGCTCCCAGCCGGCTTGTGGGGTGCAGCGGCCCGGGAGTACAGAGCACAGGGGTCAGGATGGCCCCCGACGTGCCCTGGCTTCCTTCTTGGCTCTGTGTCCTCGAAGGCCTCCCACTCAGAGAATGGGAGTTCCTTTTGTACCCAGCTTTGACCCAAAGGCAGTTCAGATAAGCCTTGAAAACCTGCTAAGACCCAGGGGCAAGGCCACTGGCATAGGAGGGCCCAGACACCCTGCAGGACTTGGTGGCCACATGGAATGCTGTCCACCCCCAGGCCCCCAAGCTCCACCGGCCACCCAGCCTGGGCAGAGTGCCTGAGTGCAGCTCAGCGGGTCCCCGGTGCAGGAGAGAAGCCCTGGGGCTGCTGCCCGCTGACCTGGCCCAGGGCAGCCGCCTCCCCAGAACCGGGGTGGGGGGGGTGGCACGGGCCCCAGGGGGCATTCTGCCTGCCAGAACTTACAGAACTTGTTATAAAGCCATCTGAGTGCAGAGGGGTGCTGACACCCCCCAGACCGTGTGGGGGCCCCCCGAGGCCTTGGTGCCCCTTGGCGAGCTCACTCCTCCAAGACGGGGCTGCGGTGAGCACCAGGGTTCCTCCTCATTGGTCTTGGTGGGATGGGGCTCTCCAGGGGGAGCAGGGGCTGCGGCCGGCAGGACGGCCCCGCTCAAAGCTCCTCACAGCGGCAGGACCCCAGGACGGTCCTGGGCCCAGGACCTGTCAAGCCTGCCTGCGTGCACATGGCGGGGGAAGCGTGGGGGGACAACGACTGTGTGCACACCAGCTTTGGGGCCGGGGGCCGGCCTAGCCCGACAACCGCCCTTCCTGGCTCCTCTGCTCTGGGACCCACTCGAGGCAAAACAGGTCACCGGCGTGAGCGAGGGGGGCTCCGGTGTTCAGGATGCCCCGCCAGGCCCAGGGCCACCACGAGCATACCAGGTGCCCGCCCACGGGGGCCGAGGGGCAGAGAGGCGCCAAGGGCGTCTCCTTAGGGCCTCCGGGGCGCCCGCGTCCTCAGCCTCCATGAGCCGACGTGGGAGGGGCGGCTAACATGCGGGGGAGGGGGCAGGCCCAGGGAATCACCACCACCAGGGCAAGACGGTGCTTATCAAAATACTTTATTTTAGGAGACCCCTCGAAAAAAGACCCTCCACATTAGACAGACGCCCAACAACACCCTCAGCCTTTTTTTTTTTTTTTGGTCTTTTCTGTATTTTTTTTTTTTCCTTTTTAAATCAACTAAAACAATCTGAGGCTTAAAATAAAAGACAGGAAGTATTTCCCAATCGGACTTCAGTCAAGAATATAGATCTATTTTCTGACCCGGGCCGGGCAGGGGTGGGGCGGCGGCCGCTCAGGAGCTCGCGGCGCTCCGGGACGGGGAGGAGCGCGCGCAGAGGACAGGACTGCGGGGCAGGCTGGCTGGCAGTGGGGAGGGAAGCCGGGCAGGCGGCCCTGGGGCCCGGGACTGCTCATTTACATGACCCTGACGCCCAGCCCGGCTCCTGCCGCAGCCGGCCGCAGCCGGCCGGCCTGCCTCTGTCCGGCAGGACCTCTGCTCCGGGACGGGCCGCGTCAGTCCGGCCAGGTTGGGAGGAGACCGGGATACGGCATCATCTTCATCACGGTGGCTTCTTTTCCAGCTGAGAAACTGTTTTTTTCTTTTTTAATTTTTAAAAAGATTCACAGCCAAAATGAGACATTAACTTCAAAATCCCAGACGGCTGTGCTCGCGCCAGTCCCAAACACACGAGCGCCCGCGGCGGGGCCTACACCTTCCCGGGGATCTTGGCGCGTTTGCGCGCGATCGCGTCCTCCACGGCCTTGAGCTGCTTCAGCAGCTCCTCGCGCCGCGACAGCGTGCTGGCCTTCCCGGACTTCGTGCCGGCGGACGCGGAGCTGGCGGGGCCAGCGTCGGAGGCTTTGCCGGGGACGCTTGTGACCTTACTGGAGCTCTTGGACTGGGGTGACATCTGGCGCTTCCTGCGTGGGGGAAGGGAGGCCATCAGAGGGTCCACCGCGGGGCAAGGACACCGGACAACGGCAGCTCTGACCGGCCTTGCTGGCATGCGCCCCCCGTGCCCCCCGCCCTCGGCTGTGGAGAGCGAACGGGGCATGGTGTCCAGGGCTCAGCTGGCGCCCTGCTGACCCGTCCTTCCTGCTTCTGGTCCTCTGCGGCCTCCCCCTGCGGCGGGGAGAAACCCCACACGGCTGACCCAGGAGCGGCCCTGAGAGCCGGGCTGTGTGGGGGCTCCAGGGATAGCAGAGTCCAGGACCCATCTGGCCCATGACCCTGAGCAGTGGGGTGGCGGGGAAGGGCCTCCCAGACGACCTCCTGCGAGGAGGAACTCTCCGCCCTGCTTCTGGGGCCGACGGGGAAGGCGGGAGAAGCTGGGAGCACCAGGAAGCCTGGTGCCAAGGGCCCGTGTTCTAGGACCTGCTGTGGTGCAGGAACGCTCTGGCTGGCCAGCCCTGAGGCCCCGGTGCCCATGGGGTCCGCTCAGGGCATGGGTGGGGCGCTCACCTGTCTGGTGGGGCCACAGGCACCTTAGAATTCTGGCCTCTCTGCCGCTCTGACTTTGGGGAGCCGAGTCTCCCGCCGGACTTCCGGTCCCGAGAACCTGGACGACACGGGCGAGGTAAGACCATGGTCCCAGCTGGGAGTGGGCTGGTGTGCATGGACAGGGCTGGGTCAGCCCGGACGGACGCCAGCGTCGCTGCAGCTCAGTATGGCCTGTGCGCTCTCACGGGAAGAGGCAAAGGGCAGAGTCGGTCAGAAGGAAAGGACAGGGCAGCGCCAGTCATGCTGCAAAGCGAAGCTCCGCGAGCCCACGGAGGCTGAGTTCCGGACAGGCCACGGAGCTCCCACTTACCCGACACAAAGACCCTCATCACTCACACCTGTGAACTGGGAACAAACAGGTAGGAGAGGGCAGGAAAGAGAAGTAAAACTAAGAAGCCGGGGGTGTCTGCCATCCCGCTGTCAGGTGAGCGGGGAGGCCCGCGTGGGCAGCAGGAGTGGTCCGGCAGCAAAGGCGAGAGGTGCCCCCTCCTGCTCCGGACCGGCCCCCTGCCCTTGCTTAGGGAGGAAGGACGGCTCTGCACCAGCGACCAACGCCGGCCGGGCAGATGGCCCGTGGACAGCCGGGGTCGGACTGCAGTCCCGAGCCCCCCGCCTGCCCTCTGCCGCCCCCCAGAGTGCGCGTGCCCCGTGCCATCGCAAAGAGGAGGACTGGAGCCACCGCCCGTCAGAAGGCATTTTCAGAGAGGAAAAAAACAAGGACACTTGTTTTTTGTTCATGGAAATGTAGTTATTTTTCATAAAAAATGTTATTTGTTTAAAAATATAATACTTTGTTACTATTACCTTAACATTAATAAATGTTGACACTTTCTCCCCAGTTTTAACTTTTAACACCTTAATATCGATGGACGGACCCACACGAGCCTGCCCTGATGAGCGCACGGGCCCCGGCCCTCTGCCCTGCGGAGCCCCGCGGAGGCAGGACGCTCACCTCGGTCTGGGGATAAGTTGGCCCGCTTGGCTGGAGGAGGACTTTGCCTGTCTTTGTCGGACGGTTCATACCGCTTCCTGCCCCCTTTATCGGCCGCCTGGAACGACAGAGGGAACACAGTGAGGATGGCGGGCCTGACAGGCTGGCCACCGGGCGGCACCAGCCCCCGCGGGAAGCCGGGAGCACAGCGGAGCTGGTCCCACGCCCACCTCTGGGTGCTGACGGGGCCTCGAGGGAGGCAAGGCCAGGATTTCAGGCCTTCAATCTCTGCAGCAAAGGTACCGCAGACACTGTTCCCTGGGGGCCACCAGCACTGGAGAGGACCCCAGGGAACTCAGCGTCTCATCCTCGGAGTCGAGGGCGCCTTGGGGACGTCAGCTCACACAGGCCCAGCCACACGGAGAAGGGCTGGGGAGAGCAGCCACCACTCCAGACACTCTCACCTCCCAGGACATGCTACTGGGCTTCGTCTCCCCCATCAGAGCAGCAGGACAAGTGGGCTGTGTCCAGCCACCGCTCACTGGCCCCAGGAAGTCGGACACCCCTGGGGACTGGGCTCCTGGAGCTGCCACCAGCAGTGCCGTGGCCTCACCTTGTTCAACAGCGTCAGTTTGATCTCCTTATGGGCGACAAACGTGCCCTGCTGGGGCTGCCCGGGGGCCGCCTGCTGGGGGGCCGTGGGCTGCTGGGGTTTACCGCCGGCAGAGGGCCTCGAGGACTTGGGCAGCTGTGCGGACGAGTCCCTTTTCCGCTTGTCCTCTTTGACCCCATCTTCTTTTTTAGACTTTCCTGCCAACAACAAATGCTAAGTCACAGTCGCCATCCCGGCATGGCGGTCTCCTGAGGGGGGATGTGCTCTCAGCCAGGCCACGTGGCCGTGGGATGGAGCCGGGAGGTTCCTGCGCTTTCCTGTTCAACCAAGTGAGGCAGTGCGCACACCCTCTTTCCACGAAGGGCCTGCCCACCTCTGCAGCCACAATGCCCAGGACACGAGGACCCCCTGTACCTTTCTCCTTCTTGGTCTGGGCTGGGGTGGGGGACCGCGAACTTGCTGAGGACACGGGGCTGGCCAGGTCTGCGTACATGTCGTCTGAGTCCACGCTGTGCACCGAGCTACTACTCGACGTGGCGCTGGACACCGAGGAGACGCTGCTCACGCTCAGGGACCTGGACACACACAAGCACGTCTGCACCCACGCGGCCCCGAAGGGGAGACGGCCAGGGGCCAGAGGCCACGGGGGGCCGGTCGTGGGTGTCCACGTCTACGGTCCCCAGCCTCTGGTTTTGAGAACAAGTACCAGCACGCTGGAGACTCCAGGGAGTACGGTGGGGGGATTCAAGGTGCCCCAGGGTGAAGGGACGCCCCATCACGAAGTCGAGGGCCCTCGCACGAATAAGCAGCCACCCTGTTTGCTGGGCAGGGACGTAGGACGAGTGACTAAATGAGAGTGAGGCCGGTGACGACAGGGCCAAGGGCCCAGGTTACAAGGCCCGAGAAGGGGAGGCTTTGCCCTGTGGCCACACCAGACCCTGGAGCGGAGGCTGCCCTGGCCCAGCCCGCGGCTCTGGGAAACACGGGGACGGCGGCCGGCGCGCAGGTGCCGTGGCCACGGCTCCCGCCGTGATGAGGACGTGCCACTTGGCAGGCCGCTGAGTCCTGCACGCTCAGAAAACACCGGAGGCCCGTGGGAGAAAGCCAGGGCCCAGTTCCGTTTAGAGACCGGGTCTCTGAACCTCTCGGAGGAAGATCTGGGCTGCGCAGAAACGAAGGAGCGCGTCCGCTCTGGGAATCTAAGCACTGGAGGAGGCGTCTTCTCTTCCGACAGCTCAGGCGCCGCGTTCTTTCCTACTTGACTGGCCATCCCCTGGCGCCTGGAGCACGACGGGCGGGCCGGCGGGAGGGCTCCCGTGTGCGGGCCCGAGGGGGAGGCGGCCAGGGTTCAGGGGGCCAGGGAGGTGCTGACAATGACCTGGATCTGGAGCTGGAGCCGCTGTAGCTGCTGCCGCTGCCGCTGCCGCTGACCGTCCGCCTGCAACACAGAGAAGCCCGCCGTGTGGCTGCCGCGACCCCGACCGGCCGGCTCACGGTGCGTGGGGCTCTGCGCGCTTCTAAGTGCAATTTCTCCTCCAAAGAAAGACATCGGCCTTCTCGGCGTCCCACAGCAGCACTGCCCCGTTCTGGGGGAGACCTCAGTGTCGAGGGGCGCCTGCGTCCTGCACGACCACACCTCTGTCGTCATGATCGGGGGAAACTGAGACTCGGGGAGGCGACGTGACAGGAAAGCCACACAGGACAGGGACTGTCAGGCCCCAGACTCAGCTGCTTGCCCCGGGTGACCAGCTTGAAGCCTGTTTGCTCACCTCCTGGGGGGGGTCCTAGCTTGCCGCTCCCTCCTCCTGGCTTCCCGCAGGTCTCCTGGCTTGGTGGGCTCGGGGGCTGGAGCAGCGGTTTTGGGGGCCTGAGGTGGGACTGGAGGTGGGGCTGGCTTCTTCACTGACTTTTCTCTGTGACGGGAGACGGGGGCGGGGTCAGAGCCGGCCCCATGGGCGGAGGACAGGCCCACGTGAGGAGCCCCGAGAACCATGGAGCCGGCGCTTCCTCAGGAACGTGCCCCCCACCGGCCGCCGGCCCCACTCATGGGGCAAACCTTCACGGCCGCCAGGACCCCTCGCGTGTGGGACCCACACTGCAATATAAAGAACAACCCCGAGGGCTTTCCTGCGCTGTCAGTGTGGGGCGAGGACCCCGCTGACCGTCCTGGCGCCGGTGCAATCAGCAGGGATCCGCGTCGTGGGCAAAGGCGAGCCGCTTAGCACAGCGACAGGGGCGGCCAAGACACGCGCACACGCCGCCCCCCGTGTTCGCGAGGCCCCGTCACACGGCCCGGTCTGGACGGCTGCGAGCCCGGGCACCAGTCACGCCTGACACTGTTCCCTCCGCGGGCGTGGGCGGCTCCGGGTGCCCATCGGCAGTGCGGAGAGTTTCAGCGCCGTCCACCTGGCGAGCACCAGGCTACTGGGCGCTAAGTGAGTCGTACACGTGAGGACCGGGGACAAAGCAGGGGGGGCGCTGGCGCCACACACAGGCACCGGCCTCGCCCGCAGGGTCAACGCCCCCACTGGCTGCCTTTCAGTGCTCTGCTCGGGAAAGGAGTCTGCTTTCCCTTTGGGGGAGGGGCGTGGGCATGGCTGCAACCTGAGACACGCCTGTTAGGGGCTGTAACCCGACGGCAAGCTCCAGGTGCTTCTAACCGGCCACATCAGTCACGTCTGTTGACGAGGACCAGTGGGACCCCCTCCTGCAGCAGCAGCATGCGTGAACGAGGCCGGTCTGGCAGGCCGCCCCTCTCCGCACACCCTGGACACGGTCCTGGAAGCACGACGGGAACCACCTCCCTCCTGCCCGCTGGAAGAAACAGCAGGGCCTGCTCCCGGCAGACGCAGCGGTCTGACCCGAAGGAGAACGGCCGACAGCATGGTCCACACAGGGCTGCAGGCGTGCCGAGGTGAGCGTGGCCTTGAAGTTCACAGGCCAGGAAGAGAGAGAGGCTACGTCTGTGGCCTGTGGCCCCCAAGCCTGATCCCCCGACACCTCTGTCCACCTGCAAGGGTTCTCACTGGGACGTCCTCAGAGGCAACGGGGGGGAGGGAGAGAGGGCGAGCCTGCCCCACGGGGCACTTACCCTGCTTTCCCAGGCGGCGGAGCAGGCTCCCCCTTGGTTCTAACAGAAGGTCTGTGTGGGGACGGCGTTGGAGACGGGGAGGGAGACGAGGAGAAGGAGCGGGACCTAGGAGGAAGCAGACGCATGAGGAGGGAGCAGCGCGGTGTCCGTCTGCGTGGGAGCACGCCGGGGAGGTCACCCAGCTCCACAGAGAACGCTACTGCCAGGCTCTCAGCTGCCGCACGTCTGAAACGGCTTTCGGGCAGCTCTCGGTCCCCCCTGCAGCTCATGAGATGGCGAAGCCGTGACGGATCCTGCAGGAGGCCCGGCGGCCACGAGGACGGGGTGGGAAGGCCACACACTCAGCGCTGCTGCGAAGTCCAGCATGGACTCGGTGACACAGGCAGGACGGAGGGCCGAACAGGGGAGCGGAGCCCTGAGGCCCAGGGGGCTGGAAAGTGGGGTGGGGAGGGTGGGGGCGAGCAGCACGAGGTAGGGACGGCCAAGCCCGGGCGCTGCGCCCGTGGAAGGAAACGGAGATGGGCTCCAGGTTCATGTGTCAGCGGCAAGGATGGAGAGCCCCAGGACGGGGACGCTGGTGGGAAGTTCTGGAGGCTGGACCGGCCAGGCCACGATTCCGCTGTCCCGGGATCCAGCACTGCACCCCACGGGAGGCAGGCTTCCGAAAGGCCCCTGTGCTGGCGTTTTCTTCCTACTAAGAAACTGTCACGCACAAGGCCCCATTTTCCACCAAGCAACGGGACCGGTAAAATAAGGCGGGGCCCCTGCAATCATACACCCTGAGGTTTTAGAGACAGAGGGGTGCGGAGGAAGTGCCTGGGTCCACCCTCCTGATGCTCCTTGGCTGGGCTGGGGGTTGCCCCCAGGGGACGGACACCCCCGGTAACTGCCAGGAGCTCGGAGCCAGAGCACACAGCCTTGTGCCACAGTGTGTCCGTGCGGCCCGGGCACCACCTGCGACAATGGGGTCTCTCGTCTCATCCCCACTGTGGCCTTCCCAGGCAGCTGCGCTGCCCTATGGAGATGGTGGAGCTGCGGGGGGGGGGGGTAACCGCGTGGAGGCCCCTACACGGGCCGTCCTCCACTCCCCACTGTCCTCTGGCCTCGCCCTTCTCCTCTCCTAACTAAACCCTGAATGGGGGAAAGGGAAAGGAGAGGGGGCCGGGGGTCTCCCCACGCAGGTGTGCCCTGGAGGCGGGACACGTGGGTGTGCGTGCAGCGCAGGCCACCTGAACGGGCTGGAAAGACAGAAGCAGCAGACACAGAGCCTGAACAGGCCTGTTGTTACGTTAACCGACGACTGTCCCCACACAGACAACAACGGAGAATCCTCCAGAAACACCAGTGTGTCTCTTCAGTGCGAAAAACACACGTGTTGTCTGACCCTTCTAGAGGCGTCCACAGGAGACAGAAGACGGAAACGCCCTGGGAGCCCTGCAGTCGGCGCACGCACACTTCGAAGTCGTAACTGAATGAGAATGTGAATCACCGCCTGTGGCTAGCGGCCCAGTGGACAGTGCAGGTCCACAGGACGTGGCCACACAGTGGCTGGTCTCCTCACTTCAGCGCACGCACAACACAGGCCGTGGGGGGCCGCTTCCAAGCCGCCTCCCGACAGGCCCCGCGCTGAGCCCTCAGCGCCTGCAGCTTGTTATCTGGCCACCTGCACACACTTCACACGCTCCTCGGAAGTGACCTCGAAACGCGGCTCCGGCTGTTCTGAGAAGAGCCGGGTGCCCGGCGGGATGCGGGTGCACAGCGCGGCCGTGCCCAGACGCGCCCCCGCTGCCCACAGTGGCCGGCGGCGCACGTACCTGGACCGGCTGCCTGAGAACGAGCTGCGTCTGGAAGACCGGCTGGAGTAGGAGCTGTAGGAGGACGAGCGGGAGCGCGAGCGGGACGAGCCGGAGCCGGAGTACGAGGACGACCGTGACGATGACCTAGAGCGTCCAAGGACAGGGCTGGGGGAGGGGCTGGTCTTCCTCCACCTCCAGCCTGGCCGCCGCTGACCTGCTGTCCTCAGGTGCAGACCCAGGTGACGTGGCCACATGCCCACCTGCTCCCGCACCCCCCACGTCCTCCGTCCCTGCCTGGGCACACCCAGCCACCTGGCCACACAGCTACTCCCACCCGCCCTCTGGGCCCCTCTGTGGGCATGCTGCAGGCCAATCCCCTTTCTGGTGGAATCGTGTTTAGAAAGCAAGACGTGGGTAGGTGCGTGCTCACTACTGCTGGCGGACAGCTTCCAGGCCCTGGCTGGACACAGCCCCCCGTGCGGTCACACATGGATTCCTCTCTACCCATCTGGGTACATAATGAAAGCCCTGGGTCAGCACTGACCTCCCCAGTCCCCGTCTAGCATGGCGGGGTCCTGCCGGCCTCCCACCCCCACCACAGGCCTGCCTGCTTGTTCACACCCAGTCACGCTGCAGCCCACACCACAGGAGGAAGAGAGGGGCTGCCTCCATGACCGGGCTCATGCCATCCTGGCCTTCTGCCTCGTGGGGTCTCTCCCAGAGGGACTGTGTGAGCTCTCCCCGCCTCGCGGGCCCCCTCACCGGGTCTCTGTTCTGGGTTGCCAGCATCCTGGCTGAGGTCAACCGTTCCTTTTGGGGGTGTGAAGCCTTACGGAAGTTGTAAGCCTCAGTTCTGTCTGCCGCTAACGCCCCAGCGCCCCAGTTACTCAGTGAGTCTCTTCTAGACAAACAGGCTGACTGTCCTCCGGCCGGCGTGGTGCAGCCCTCCGGCAGCGTCCGTGCACCGTCGCTGTGACTGGCCAGCCCCCTTACCTGGAGGAATTAGAGGCAGAGGCTGACGAGGCTGATGTTTTCCGGCGCCTTCGTGCCCGGCTAGGGGAGACGGACACCCCGAGTTTCTTCTTGGGAGACTTGGACCGGCGCCAAGGATCCTTCCACTCATCCGCTCGCTTCACCTGCGGTCCCGCAGCGGCGGCCTCCTTCTTTGGTGGCTCAGCTTGACGGCTAGAATCAGAGGTGTCAGCCACTCTGGGACCTCCTCTGTGACAGCAATGCCGCTCGGGGAAGGACACTGAGAGGCAAGATGGCGGCATAAGCGCCTGCTTCAGGGGGAGCCTGACAAGTAACGGGTCACCCACCGGGGCCACAGAGCTCACTGCCAGCATGACAAGCAGAGCTCACACCACGGACGGTCTCCACGCACGTGTCCTTCCTGGAGGGACATGTCCTTCTCCTTCATGGAAACTAACCACACTGGTACTCACTTTTTTGGGTGTAACGACGTACAGAATTCCCCACCATACTACAAACTCTGGGAAGGACGGGGTGGCCTTGTCTACCATGTTCTCTCTAGAGCCAGCACAGCAGGTGCAAAACAAATTCTTCGTTTAAGGGCAATAAATTACTTGTTGCCCTCCACTTATGGCCAACTCATCTTTGACAAAGGAGAAAAGAATATTCAATGGAAAAAAACCAGTCTCCTACACAAGTAGTGCTGGGAACATGGGACAGCCACATGCAGAAGATTGAAACTAGACCATTTCCTTACACCACACACAAAAATAGACTCTAGATGGATGAAAGACCTCAACGTGAGGCAGGAATCCATCAAAATCCTTGAGGCGAACACAGGCAGCAACCTCTTCGACCTCAGCTGCAGCAGCTTCTTCCTAGGAACATCGCCAAAGGCAAGGGAAGCAAGGGCAAAAGTGAACTATTGGGACTTCATCAGGATCAAAAGCTTTTGCACAGCAAAGGAAACAGTCAACAAAATCAAAGGACAACTGACAGAATGGGAGAAGATATTCACAAACGACATATCAGATAAAGGGCTAGTGTCCAAAATCTATAAAGAACTCATCAGACTCAACACCCAAAGAACAAAGAATCCAATCAAGAAATGGGCAGAAGACATGAACAGACATTTCTGCAAAGAAGACATCCAGATGGCCAACAGACACATGAAAAAGTGCTCCATATCACTGGGCATCAGGGAAATACAAATCAAAACCACAATGAGATGCCACCTCACACCAGTCAGAACGGCTAAAATTAACAAGTCAGGAAATGACAGATGCTGGCGAGGATGCAGAGAAAGGGGAACCCTCCTACACTGTTGGTGGGAATGCAAGCTGGTGCAGCCACTCTGGAAAACAGCATGGAGGGTCCTCAAAAAGCTGACAATAGAGCTACCCTGTAACCCAGCCATCGCACTACGGGGTATTTACCCTAAAGATACAAACGTAGTGATCCGAAGGGGCACGTGCACCCGAATGTTTATAACAGCAATGTCCACAATAGCCAAACTATGGAAAGAACCCAGATGTCCATCAACAGACGAATGGATAAAGAAGATGTGGTGTATATACACAATGGAATACTATGCAGCCATCAAAAGAAATGAAATCTTGCCGTTTGTGACGACGTGGATGGAACTAGAGGATATTGTGCTGAGCGAAGTAAGTCCATCAGAGAAAGACAACTATCATATGGTTTCACTCATACGTAGAATCTAAGGAACAAAACCCACGGACATAAAGAAAGAGGGAAAAAAGAGAACAAAGCAAACTGTGAGAGAATCTTAACTCTAGAAACAAACTGAGGGTTGCTGGAAGGGTGGGGGGTGGGGGATGGGGTAACTGGGGGATGGGCATTCAGGAGGGCACGTGATGTGATGAGCACCAGGTGTTCTATGCAAATGCTAGACGACTGAGTACTACAACTGAAACTAATCATGTACCACGTGCTGGCTAACTGAATTTAAATAAAACATTTTAAAAACGCCCTAAGGACGCATTAAACTGAAGCATAAAATCCCTGTTATATTGGCCCTAAACCCCAAGAGTGTTTGCCATATAAGCTCACAGCTTGTATTACTGGAAAAGTAATCGCGGAAGTTAGTGAAACTTGTCAATTCCAGCCCGTCCCAGGCCAGCCTGGGGCTGCCGTCACCCCCTACATCCTGTGCTACTCTCGTCCTAAGAACGCTGGTGTGGGGTTCTTCCTCAGTCACCCCGCGGCCCAGCTCGGCCGGTCTGCAGCCCCCTGACAGGGCAGCAGGGCAGACAGAAAGCGAGGGACAGACTCCTCTTGTCACCATTAACTGTAGGTTAAGGACAGAGTGCCGCTGCCCGTCCCCTTCACAGCCCGGAAAAGAAATCCACCGAGGGTGCAGTGCTGGCCAAAGGAGGCCACCGCTGCCTCTGAGAGTCAACGTCTCCCCAGGGAGACTCTCGCATGCACTCTGGGGGGAACACTATGGGCTTCGTGGTGAGCTGCCCTTCCCCCCGGAAGGGCCGCCAGCCCACGCACACCGAGCCACCAGCCAGCGCCCCCTTCCCTCTGAGGGCTGTTTTAATTTATTTGTACACAGACAACCATTTTCATTTTTTACTTCATTTCTACAGTTACTCACTAGGACAAATGATTTGGCTTGTTTTATGAAAATGATGTAATTTCTTCTCAAAATGTATTTAACCCTAAAAAGTAAAAATAACAAAAAATATAAACCGTGTCCATAGGCCCTGGATACAGAAAACCATGCTGGCGGCACAAGAATGAAGCGGTTTAGGGAGCAGCTGAGGGAGGGGTCTCTTCTGCAGACCACCAGACCCAAACACTGCTGAGCTGGGCCACAGATCTGGGGACCCAGACCAGAGAGCAACAGTTTCCGGCTTGGACACAGAACTGGAACTGTCCACGTTAACGGCAGGTGTTTTGGCGAAACGACTGAATGGACACCCAATAAAGAGCTCCTGGGAAACCCCAGGGGGAAGCACGCCTGGGCACTGGGGAGGCCGGCGGAGGCAGGAGGCACGCCCTTGGACTTCCACGTGGGTGGCCACGTGGGCCGGGGTGATGGCAGCCACACGACCAGGCTGTCCTTCTCCACTGTTTTCTTTGTTCTTTACAAAGTTCTCCACACTTTTCTACCCCATCCTGTTTCACGTCTATCACAGAAAACCCCCAAATGTTATTTAAGAAATGTTTCCCCTCTGGCAGAGGACAGCTTCTGCTATGCTGACTGGCACACAGGCCCAGGAGTTTTACTAATTCTTGGTCCTAGCGACGCGTTCTCATCTCTCACAGGACCTCCCTGCAGAAGGAAGGGGCCCTGGCGCCGCTGCAGGGCCAAGTGGCTCTTACGGCCGTGGCTGCCGACCCTCAGCGGCCTCTCGGCCGCACACCGGCAGGGATGGGAGAGAAGACGCCCCGCGCAGGTCCATAAGCTGAACGTGACCCGTCGGTAAGGCAGCAGGGCTGGTGCGGCTGTGCTCTGAAGCCCTGGAGGGCCGCACCCCTGCCCCGGAGCCTAGGACCCGGTGGTGGTGCAGCTGGTGTCATGCGGGTGCCCGGCCCCAGAGTCCGACCAAGTGACAAACGCTGCACCAAACTGAATCGGAAACCCTGTGGGCAGGTCAGCTGATCAACAGTCTGAAGACGCAGGGGTGGGAGAGGCGGCGGGAAGGGCCGCGGTCAGCAGGGGCAGCGGGCCAGCATTTGCATAAACCCTGCTCCACGGAGAGGGGAAACAGGCCTCGCTCTGCCCAAGGAAGGGGCCTTCCCCAGCCCTGTGACCGCACACTCTTATCTTCCAGGCTCTAACGCTCCGCTCAAGGCTTGGAGAGGGACTCCGGGGAGCAAGGGTCAGCCGCAAGGCCTGCCAAACACAGACGTCACAACACAGCACAACCCCGGCCCGACACTCACAACACGCCTCGCACGTCACATCAGGGGTCAGAGGCGTGAGACGTCAGCGACATGAGGCCGCGACATCAAGGTGTCTGGAAACTCTGAACAGAGCGGCAGCCAAGTTTGGGGTCAAAGGTGAAACGAGAGAAAACATAAAGGTGTTCTTCTAAAATCGAAAGGCCTAGGCATCCAATAAAGGTCCAAGAAAAGGGACTTAGAAGTGACTGAACTCTTCACAGTCCTGTCACAGCACCTCTCACGGGAGAGCTTGGCCGCGACTGCATTCTGGCAGCCTGCGTTCTGGGGCTTTCGAGGAAAGCCTGCGCTGTGATCACCTCCCCTAACCCCTGGGCAGAAACCCCCAACGGGGGTCCTCCGCGCACCCTGCTGAGCACCACGCCTGGGGGACGCCCGCCAGGGAAGACTCCAGGGGCTGGCAAGGCACCCCTCCCTCTGGGATGCTCACCTTGCGTGGAAATCCCACTTCTTCCTTGTCTCGGACTCTGCTGAGTTCTTACGACCCACCCCAGCGCGCCACAAGCCCTCTTCCAGCCTTGGCCAGGCCACGGGTCCCTCTCGCAGCAGACACACAGTAAGATGCGAGAGAACTTAGACCGGCTGCTTGCGGTTCTCATTCTGGTGCCCCCCCAGGCCCTGAGGGAAGCCCCAACGCCGGCCGACGCACGCCCCATCAGCGAGGCGCACAGCCAGCACCCCGGAACCTGACATTTCCAGGGGCCGAAGCCGGGTCCTGGCCGGAGGGGCCCAAGGGCGGGTCACTGCTGTGGACGGTTCTCCCGGGGCGAGGTGGGGGGCAGGACAGACAGCCTTTCCGAGTGAGAGGGCATCCGGTGACAGACCCAGCACGTTCACTCTCCAACTATGAAAACATCCCTAACTTCATCAGGAACCAGTAACCCTGAGAGAAACGTGACTGCCAGCAGCGGGGACAGGCACGTCCCCACCCACTTCCCCTTTAACTTCCGGGTGAACAGGGAGAGGAGAAGCCTCCTGTTTCAGGCCGTGGGTAAGCGGCGTTCGCGTCCGTTTCCTGACCGCTGCAAGGCCCATGACGTTGCCCGAGGCTCCTCACGGCTCCTGCCCCCGCAGCCTCCCCCGCAAGAACCCAAAGCTCCCCCTGGGGGCCGGTCACGCTTGAGGCGGCTCCGCGGCACGTCCTTCTGCCTCACGGCTGCATCCGTGTCCACGGGCACTTCTCCAACTCCTGCTGACAGCAGGTGTGCGGCCTCAGACGCGAATTCCCCGGGGAACGCGACCGACTGCCTTTTTGTCTTCGGCAGTCGGGCAACTTC